CAATCTAAGCAATACACTGGACACAACCTTAGCACTAGACGTAACGCAACCTAAGCATGCATGGGATTGCCGTACCGACTGCCCTCCCTGTCCGTACAACCGTTCCAGTTCACCGCACGACCTCGCTGGGGATACAATACATCCCTCAAGCGCAAAAAACAGGCATCCATATCGCAAGCTAACCATAACGCCGCAGTTCATTTTCAGGCAATATGAGGCCCAAAGGGCCCCCTAACCCACACAAACTAGGCATCAGCCATGGCCACACAGGCACTGCACCGTTTCCTTCAGAAGATAAGCCCTGCATGGACGCGGCTAGCATTGAGCTCTACATGCCAGGATTCAAAGCAGGGGCGGACGTAGCATGACACTGCCTGCAACGATGACTAATAATGAACGCAACCTAAGCATTACACTGGACACAACCTTAGCACTAGACGTGACGCAACTGAAGCATAGCGTGACACCGTCTGCAACGACAACTAATAACGAACGCAACCTAAGCATTACAGCCCTTAATCGCCAAAAGCAGGCATCCATTTCGCAAGCTAACCATGACGCCGCAGTTCTTTTTCAGGCAATATGAGGCCCAAAGGGCCCCCTAACCCACACAAACTAGGCATCAGCCATGGCCACACAGGCACTGCACCGTTTCCTTCAGAAGATAAGCCCTGCATGGACGCGGCTAGCATTGAGCTCTACATGCCAGGATTCAAAGCAGGGGCGGACGTAGCATGACACTGCCTGCAACGATGACTAATAATGAACGCGACCTAAGCATTACACTGGACACAACCTTAGCACTAGACGTGACGCAACTGAAGCATAGCGTGACACCGTCTGCAACGACAACTAATAACGAACGCAACCTAAGCATTACAGCCCTTAATCGCCAAAAGCAGGCATCCATTTCGCAAGCTAACCATGACGCCGCAGTTCTTTTTCAGGCAATATGAGGCCCGAAGGGCCCCCTAACCCCACAAACTAGGCGTCTGCCATGGCCACACAGGCACTGCACCGTTTCCTTCAGAAGATAAGCCCTGCATGGACGCGGCTAGCATTGAGCTCTACATGCCTACAATGCCAGGATTCAAAGCAGGGGCGGACGTAGCATGACACTGCCTGCAACGATGACTAATAATGAACGCGACCTAAGCATTACACTGGACACAACCTTAGCACTAGACGTGACGCAACTGAAGCATAGCGTGACACCGTCTGCAACGACAACTAATAACGAACGCAACCTAAGCATTACAGCCCTTCATCGCCAAAAGCAGGCATCCATTTCGCAAGCTAACCATGACGCCGCAGTTCTTTTTCAGGCAATATGAGGCCCAAAGGGCCCCCTAACCCCACAAACTAGGCATCTGCCATGGCCACACAGGCACTGCACTGTTTCCTTCAGAAGATAAGCCCTGCATGCATGGACGCGGCTAGCATTGGCCTCTACATGCCTACAATGCCAGGATTCAAAGCAGGGGCGGCCGTAGCATGACACAGTCTGCAACGATGACTAATAACGAACGCAACCTAAGCAGCCCTCAATCGCCAAAAGCAGGCATTGGGCTCAGACGTGCCATACGCAACCTACAAGTGTTTCCATTCAGTCCAAAGCACTAAACTGCTGAGAGGATAGAGTAGAGGCTTGTACAGCATCCTCGCAAAGGAAGGATATGACGCATAGAAGCTGCTGAATGGTCTGGCGTTGCACTGGCTGTATTCCGCTGACCTCCATCAAATAGGTGCCGTACGGGCTGGCCCAGAAGCAATAAGTTGCCATTTTGGTTTTCTTGCTCCCCTTGAACATGGCCCGAAGCCTCACACCGCCACCTTTGCGAGCGGGAAGAAGCTTAGACAGCTCATCTGCAAAGTCAGCCATGGCCCGTGACCATCGCGGCTCACACGCCATGGGTAATGGCCCTCCCCCCACTGACGCCGGCGATTGACCTTGACTTCCCACCTGCAGTTGGGCGCGGAGAGCCTCAGCAAGCTAAGTCTAGCAGAGTGTATTAGACAGCAGGGGTCATCCTTAGGTTCCCGTGTCTGTTATCTCATGTCCTAAATGACACCCATTCTTCAGGGACCCTCATTTCGTCCATACCCGTTTCCATGCCAACTCACTCGCGGATGCTAACCGAGACACGAGAACTTGTCAGCACCAAGTCGAAGATGTCCTTGATGACACCGGCGCAAGTATGCATAGGGTCGTAGTGCAGGCCATGCTTGGTTTGGAAGCCGGGAACCTTCAGCAAGGGGCAGTGGTGGTCCGCCGGGCACACCTGCGTGCCAGAACAAACGTTGTGTATGCCGAGCCGAGCCCATATTCCGACACTGCCAAGCAGAAGCCACCTCTACTATTGTTAACCATTACTTCAAGCCCTACTCACCAGCTCTACGCCATCACCTGCTGGCTCCTGCAAAATAAAGAAGCCAATGGTCATAATACAAGCAACTCTGCTGTGCTAGGTACTTTGCAGTCGTACCTCAATGCGTGCAAGGAGATGTTGCTGCGTGCGTGGCAAGGGCTCCCCCTCCCCAGCTGCGCGGTTAGATTCTGAGGTGGCACCAGTGTTAAGTTTAGCAAGGGCACTACGTAGCTTATCATCGGCACCCAGGAAACAAAAGGTACCGCCGTACAGATTCTTGTGCGTGCACTTCACAGCAGGGAGCCAGCACTTGTAGCAGCCGTACTGAGCTGTAGGGGCCCCTTTAATACGGAGCATCTCCTCCAAGCCTCGGTAGTCTGACCCAACAACCACCAAGTACGCACGAACAAGCAGGTCCTGCTTGGTGTGTGCATCGTACACCGACACTCCGTGGTAGGCCAGGCTGGTCATTTCATCCGCGACCAGCTGCAGATATGAGTCCAGGTGAATCCGGGCCGTCTTCTCGCGGGTGCCATGAACAATGCCAGCAATGGTGGTGATGCCGGGATGATAGCTGGTTAGGAAAGGAGGCAGAAAGGTTGGGTCAGTGGTTGTGGTGTTGGAAGGTGGAGGATGGAAGGAGCGGGCAGAGGCGGGTGGAGGAGGGTATGCAAGGCGGCGGGCGGGCTGTAGGGGCAGTTAAGGCTATGGGCGACGACGGGGATATGGTGTAAGAAGGATGTAAGAGGAACAACGGTGAATTCCCAATGGCCACACCCATACGCTAATCAGCAGGTGGGAATCCAATCACTCCACCTACCGGACATCTGGACTGCAATTGTAAGGCGTGAACGCAAGGGGATGTACAGAGTACTTGTGGTCCTCCTTGAAGGGCTGAACCCCGTCGCAGAAGAATCCAAACAAGACGTCAGTGGCTGCCAGGGGCACACCGGTAGGCGTGGAGTTCCGCGCTACAGAGTACACAGCCCCATCAAGCAGGTCGCAAATATAGCCCTCCTTAACACCACGCTCCTTAGCAGTCTTTGCGTGATAACGGAAGGCCTTCGCGTAGTGCTCACATGCGTAAATTCTCCTAATGTAGTCATGAAGAGGCCTGCAAACAGGGCCAACGCCATGGGCAGGTCAGTTACAGAGGTTGTCACGTCGCAATGTCATGCTGTCTGGCAGCCGGGCTCTACGCAACCCCAGGGCGCACTACAGGCAGCTAGCAATTTAGTTGGCAGTTGGACTGCTGCCGCGAACATAGCACTAGAGGTGTGGCGAGCAAGCGGCAGACCCATATGGCGATGGCTGACGTCAACGATGAAACCATGCGAACTAGTTTATAAACCCATTGGATAGCCCCCAACCGTAATGGTCATCCATACCTGTACACGAAAACCTTCGTGTTATGCTTGCGTTCACATGAGCAGTTAAGGCAAACACGGCTTGCATGCTGAGGGCCCCGGTAGAGGTGCCCACACTTGATGCAGTAGTCGTAGTCAACAACGCGGCATTCAATTAGCAACCCCCTATCCTCTAGGAACGTAAGGATGTGACGAAAGGTTTCAGGCCTTTCACCAGGTGGGATGTCATCATACTGCCCATTCTTGTACAAGAGAAGTGTAAGATGGGCTGCGGCTGTCTGGGTCGACTGGTTGCGAACACGCCAGATAAGAATGTCGAGTAGGTCATACGCAAGCCTATCATATGCACGATTCTGCTGTTTCCAATTCACACCCGGCCTGGTCATACGCTCAAAGCAACGGTGCTGCCGGCCACCATCCCCTTCCCCAGGGACATAGCTAGGCGGGCCGCCAAAGTCACTCCCAAGGGCATCAGCAGTGCCTCCAGCCATGTCATCTTCGTGGGGAAGGTCTGGAGGGCTGGGTGCTGGTGGCTGAAACACCAGGCTTGGGCTATTGTTAGTAAGTAGGCTAGGGCTAGCGTCCGGGCCACGGCTGGGTGAGGCAGCGGGTGCTACGTTCCCTTGGACTCCTGGGAGCATAGGTGATGTTGACGGCGAGCCCTCCTCGATATCTGCATTGGACAACGGGATGGGTGAGGCTTCTATAGCGCTCAACAAGGCGCGTCCACTGGTTTATGCAGCCCAAACCCCCAGCATACACACCTTCCTGAGGTATGCCGCTATAAATCTTACACAGATTAATGTAATAATCCGCATCTCGTCCACCAGACACGGGAAGCCATTTAAGTTTCCCCTCAAAAGTACCATTCTGTCTGGCGTGTGTTTGGGTGGTCCTATCCGTTAACTTCTTAGCTCGACCAAGCTCAACGGCACTGGCTACACAGCTACGGCATAGGCACCAGCGCTTAGCACCTTCGCCGACCATGCACGCGGTGCAGGCGATTAGGGCCACCAGTACAAAGGCGGCGCCAAGGCCGATTGGCCATGGCCGGGACCCGTGGGGCCCCTTTGTCGTGTGCAAGTCCTCTGTCATAAGGAGTACCTAAACATTGTATTCTTCTATATTACACGATCAAGTATTGCCCGAACTTAGGCAGGACTGGGCATGAAGAAAGCACTTGAAGAGTTCCCTTCAAGTGCTGTCCCTGGAGCCTCATCCATAGACTGATAGGCAAACGTTATCAGCTTACTCAGCAGCAGTAGGAAATAATTGTGGATTGCATTAAATGCAGGACACCGAAAGTGTATATGTGCTCTACTTATGCAGTCATAGCTTAATGCATGGAACGACGCGTCATATGTTCGCTCCTGAACGTTGCTATTCTCCTTTACATAGTTAACTTTGCGCATTCTCACTCTGATGCCACCGGGTGTGACGGTTTCCTCAATTTAAAATTGTTGGAGCGCGCACTCCATGCTTCCAGTTTAGTCAAAGCAAAGGAGATGAGGTCCACTGGCCACGGAAGAGGGGCTATCCAGGTGCTGGCACAGAATGACAGCATCCAGCCATACGTACCGCCGTTGGAGCTCCAGTTCTCTGAAACAGGGGAGCATCAGTCTAATCAGCAGGCCGTCCTAGGCCGCATAACAATTGCAAGCAAGGAGGCCATCCGATACGTTCTGTTAATGCGCAGCGCTAGTGTTGCTGAGGTTATGTGCGTGGATCTTGGGGTGAAGCCGCCTACAAGCAGTAGCATTCGGGTGCACCCAGAGGCAGGCCTAGTGTCAGTGCATTCAGTATGCGTAGACATGGGCCTGCCAAGGAGGCGGGCGTGGGCGCAGAGCCTCCGAGTTTTCAGCAAGGAGCAGGAGAAGTGGGTAGAAGTGAGGCGCCACGCGCCTGCTCACGACTTCCTGCGGTCCTGGACAGCTGCACGATTCCTACCTGCTCAGTTACCAGTTCCAGAGCAACGTGGTGCGTCGCTAGAGCATCAGCAAGGGCTAGAGGAGAATCTGGAGCCTCAGCAACAGCAGCTCCCGCCCTGTGCACCCAAAGTCTCTGCTGCATGCACAGGTAAGTCTAAGGACGAATGCCGGGTTAGGGCCGTGTGGACACGAACCATTCAACGTGCAAGCATGCATGTCGGCATTACAGTGATGTTCAAAAGTAAGGGAGCTGTATGACAAAGATTCACATGGGGCAGGGGGCGGGGGGAGGGGGGCTTGCGAGGGAGGAGTTGACGCAACGTGCGCCTGGTGGGAGGGCAGGGATGAGGGACGCCTCAGAGCAGGGCTTCTTAGGAGGGCCTAAGAACAAACCCCACCGTTTTTTTTATTCCATACACCCCGTCCCGTTCCAACGAATGCCATCAGCTCCCTCAACACACCCCCTCCCTCTTCCCCTCCCTCTTCCCCTACCCGCTGCTCTCCACATCCATAATTTTCTTTGTCGTGCATCCAGTGCCAGGAGATATGACACTCAAGGAAAGCACCGAGGGTGCAATGGCAATTAATGCAGGCGGCGGAGGAGTGGAGGGGGATGGTAGAGCAGGTATGTAAGCAGATGGTGGTGCTGTAGCGCTATACCATAAAGCAAATATTGGCCTGGATTTCCTAAGCGACCCCCCTACCTCACCGCCCCTCCATTCTTGAACCTCCCATGCGTAACAGTGTAATAGTGTAGCGCCTTGCCATAAATAGTTGTTCCTCTTTCCCTCAACCCCTCTCCCGCTAACGTTGTCGTCCTACCCTGACGACCCTTTTTCCTTCCCGATGGCGTCAAAAGTAACCAATCGGCCGTACACGGAGGTAGACAACATCTGCGGGGCGTGGGAGGACAAGCTGGGTGGCGCATGTGGGCTGGAGGGCATGGGCGGGTCTATCACGAAGGCAGGAATTAAGCTTGCCTTTCAGAGCATGAGCACCTTCCTTCACATGGACAACTCCAGCGTTGTATTCGACTTGGGTGGCGCTATTGGCAGGTGTGTTAGTTGTACAGGGATACCTACCTCACATCAATGCGTTAGGTGTACTGAACCGCTTTCGACACACTTTGAATCCAGGATGCTCCCGTTTGCCAAGGTGGCTGCATGCGTGTCGTTGGCGTGGATGGCGGAGTGCGATGACAGCAAAATCCAAAAAGCGGTTGCATTCCTACCTCAGGTATACGGCGACCTAATAAAGAAAGGTGGGTACTTGTGGCTTCCTTGAGCCTCTTAGCTGAATAGTACGAACCGAAGCTATGAATTAGGCCAATTGTTCGGAGGTAGGAGACGGTGTCGATAGCCTTGGCATGCTTACTATGAGTGCCGCTTGCCGTGTGTGCCCTCCTCAGGCTTAGCGGCCCCTGTGGGTCAGCTGGACACTTTGATGGAGGTTATCCACCATGACATGACCCGTGAGGCTGGTGGATCTTGGGACCGGGTCCGTGCACGGCTTGCTGCGACCTCGCACATCTACAGCTTCTGTGAGGGCATTCCCCGCGAAGCATTGGCGGTTACAGGCCGCGCCGTCAAGGACAGCACTGCCTTTAAGGTAGGCGCCGTGATGCAAAATGTTAATTTAGCAGGCAAGCCCTTAAACTTGCACGGTTTGCCTGCAGGGCTGTGTCCTGGTCTGCTACCAGGCTAACTGGTCTCACAACTCCACTTTGCATGACACCCTTGGGCGCTCACCCCATCCCGAGGAGGTGATGGAGCTGGAGTGGGGCTTTGGCCCAATGGTGCTGTTATGCCGGCTGAATGCGCGGCAGGAACGTAGGTCATACGCGTAGCCAGATAGCTTGATGGTGACTGCGCCTGATAACGGTTTGCACGTACAGGTGGCAAGGCAACATACCCCATGTGGGTGTTCGCTAGGTACACGGGGGAGAGCAGCAAGCGGCCGCCCATGCTCCAAAATCTCAGCGATTATCCAGACTCCATTTCCAAAGCCCAGTGGTGGTGGCAGCGTCACACTGGTGCTGACTTGTCCGATTTCCTTACAGACACCAGCCTACAGCTGCGGTTGGCTGTAGTGCAGAACGAACGTCTAACAGTAGCTGACCTTCCAACTGCCCTCGCTGACCGCTATGCGTTTTATACAGCACAGTCCGTGCCCCCAGGGCTGCTAGAATGGGCGCTGGGGCTGTGCTTTGCTAACGATGCATCTTCTCTTTTAGACAATGGGGTGCCAGGGAGCACACCGAAAGCCCTTGGTCGAAGGGGAAAGCTGAGCCGCTCTCAAAGAGACACGGCTAGGGGCAGGGAAGCAAGTATGCGGAAGATGGTGGAGCAGAAACGTGGAGAGTTTAGCAATGTAAGTGGCGGGGGCTCATGCGTATTGCTAGGCTGCACGCCTTGTTGTCACGTTTTGTTTTTGTGCAGGCATCTGTCCAGTTCATCTTTATCGAGGACCGAGGGGCAAAAGTACCTGTAGCATATGCAGCTTACAGGTACGACGTTCCACCTTTCAGTCTAACGCTCAACAGCCTCCCATCATCCTACCGGGATTACCTCACACATGTCTATCTTTATAGCACCACACCCTTCTTGCCATGCGAATCCCTTAACCTCATTAGCAACACTTGGTACTGATGTTCCCAGGCCGGACCTTGATGACGCGAAGCTAGTGCTGCGCCTGTCTGAAGTACGTGTGGAAGAGCGGGCACAGCGTGACGGTATCGGCAGTGGCCTCGTCAGGGGCCTTGTACGCTTTGCGGAGCGGCTCCAACTTGCGGCGGTGGTCGTGACAGTAGCCGCTGACAATGCCGGGGGCAAGAGGTTCTTTGAAGCAATAGGATTTGTGACACACGAGGGAACCAGCAAGGCCACTAAGCGGGAGACCTGCTTGGTTCTCTCCATCCAACCACTTTCCTTCAATGTGAGAAAAAGAACTGTCGTATACGTAAGATATTTCGGATGTATGCCTAAATGCGGTGACTAACCCATGATCACTAAACCGTATTTACCTACATGTACGATCACCTTTGACCGCAAGACTTTGTTCCACCCGTCCTGATCCCTCAGCGTACAATGGAGCCCGTGCAGCGGTACAGCCTGGATGAGGTGCGCGAAATGGAGCGGGCCGCATCTCGGTTGCGGCCAGCGGCCGGCGCCGGTTGGATCAAGCTTGGAGCGGGCGGGTTTGGCTCGGTAACAGCTGGTGTTACAGCTTCCGCACGCAGGGTGGCCATCAAGCGGTTTACACTGGGCCCAAGCACCAGTACCGACGTCCTTCGTGCTATCCGGCAGAACATCACAGTGGGGATGACCTGCTGTTCTGAGAACCTGTTGCAGCTCGTAGGGATAGCCCATAGCCCGGCGGGATCGGTAACTGGTCTGGTCTGGGAGGAGGCGACCCATGGCAGCCTGGAACCGCCAGGACCCAACCTGCCACTCCAGCAGGTTGTCGGGCTGCTTGCTGACGCCGCCAATGGCGCTGCAGTGTTGCACGACGCAGGGCTGGTTCACAGGGATATCAAGCCTGCTAACATCCTGGTGAGCATGTCCTCTTGTTTGCTGATAGTAACCCTTAGAGCAAGGTGGAGGGATGTACAATGGGGTGGCGGCTGACAGTGAAAGCGCCCCCCTGGCTTCCACTTCCGAGCCCCCCTCTGGACCCCCCTCCTCCCACACCGCCGCCACCACCATCCAATTGGATCTTCGCTGCTTTTTTGCAGGTCACTGATCGTGGTCACGGCGTCGTCGGTTTACTAGCAGACTATGATGTGACCGTGGAGTCCGGCACGCGGTTTGGCTTGGTAAGTTGAACCACTGGAGTGCTTCAATGGGACTGAACTTAACGGAAACAATAGGTTTATCATACGGATAGAAGGTGAAACGGCTGTTCCCACGCGTTGCCATATTTCGTACGGTCAGCAATGCAAACTTTGTGACAGTGGTGTCATCAGTTATGGTTTCCTTTGGTTGTCACGTTGCAGGTGGGCACCCCTGGCTACCGGCCCCCAGAAGCCGAGGGTCAGCCCGACCCACAGGCTACCACCACCTACCACACCCTGGCGTTTGACGTATACAGCTTCGGAGCAACCTTAGCCACAGTCCTCTTCCGCACCAGTGCCGTGGGCCCTACCGTTTGCGCAGTACAGACTCAGCTGGTAGCCGAGTGCAGGTCCCTGGTGGAAGAAGTTCAGAATGCATGGGCTGAAGGCGCCGTGATGCCGTCATTTGAAGTGGTACGCAGACTTCTGGATCTGGCCGCCGCAGCCCTCGTCAAAACCCCTGGAGGTCGCTTGCAGCATGCATGCGGCCCCAACTCTAATAAAGCCGCGGGAGACTATATGCGTTTTATAGCGATACGGCTGCGGGAACTGGCATCCGGGTTAACTAGGTGATGGGGACTGATTGCGCAGTGCAGTAGATGCGGGGGGGAACAAGGAAAACTGACGAATTTGCGGGGGGGTTGTTGTTTGGAATGGTGGCAGTGGTGGTCTGTAGTATCCAGTTATGGTAGTTGGCATGCGTGTGCTCCTAGTTTACTACTGCCCCGTTGCTTTGTAGGGGCTGTATGAGGCGGCCACCACGGCCTGACTTCCGTCATGTCTAGGTCCCATACACAGGGCAAGCGAGGCACCGCTTGGCCACCCACGTGTTCTACGACAGTTTGGTTATGGTAGTTGGCATGCGTGTGCTCCTAGTTTACTACTGCCCCGTTGCTTTGTAGGGGCTGTATGAGGCGGCCACCACGGCCTGGCCACCCATGTGTTCTACGACAGTTAGGTTATGGTAGTTGGCATGCGTGTGCTCCTAGTTTACTACTGCCCCCGTTGCTTTATTTGTAGGGGCTGTATGAGGGCGGCCACCACGGCCTGGCCACCCATGTGTTCTACGACAGTTTGGTTATGGTAGTTGGCATGCGTGTGCTCCTAGTTTACTACTGCCCCGTTGCTTTGCAGGGGCTGTATGAGGCGGCCACCACGGCCTGGCCACCCACGTGTTCTACGACAGTTTGGTTATGGTAGTTGGCATGCGTGTGCTCCTAGTTTACTACTGCCCCGTTGCTTTATTTGTAGGGGCTGTATGAGGCGGCCACCACGGCCTGGCCACCCATGTGTTCTACGACAGTTAGGTTATGGTAGTTGGCATGCGTGTGCTCCTAGTTTACTACTGCCCCCGTTGCTTTATTTGTAGGGGCTGTATGAGGGCGGCCACCACGGCCTGGCCACCCATGTGTTCTACGACAGTTTGGTTATGGTAGTTGGCATGCGTGTGCTCCTAGTTTACTACTGCCCCGTTGCTTTGCAGGGGCTGTATGAGGCGGCCACCACGGCCTGGCCACCCATGTGTTCTACGACAGTTTGGTTATGGTAGTTGGCATGCGTGTGCTCCTAGTTTACTACTACCCCGTTGCTTTATTTGTAGGGGCTGTATGAGGCGGCCACAACGGCCTGGCCACCCACGTGTTCTACGACAGTTTGGTTATGGTAGTTGGCATGCGTGTGCTCCTAGTTTACTACTGCCCCGTTGCTTTATTTGTAGGGGCTGTATGAGGCGGCCACAACGGCCTGGCCACCCATGTGTTCTATGACAGTTTGGTTATGGTAGTTGGCATGCGTGTGCTCCTAGTTTACTACTGCCCCGTTGCTTTGTAGGGGCTGTATGAGGGCGGCCACAACGGCCTGGCCACCCATGTGTTCTACGACAGTTTGGTTATGGTAGTTGGCATGCGTGTGCTCCTAGTTTACTACTGCCCCGTTGCTTTATTTGTAGGGGCTGTATGAGGCGGCCACAACGGCCTGGCCACCCATGTGTTCTACGACAGTTTGGTTATGGTAGTTGGCATGCGTGTGCTCCTAGTTTACTACTGCCCCGTTGCTTTGTAGGGGCTGTATGAGGGCGGCCACAACGGCCTGGCCACCCATGTGTTCTACGACAGTTTGGTTATGGTAGTTGGCATGCGTGTGCTCCTAGTTTACTACTGCCCCGTTGCTTTATTTGTAGGGGCTGTATGAGGCGGCCACAACGGCCTGACTGCCGTCATGTCTATCTAGGTCCCACATACAGGGCAAAGCGAGGCACAGCTTGTCCAGCCATGTACGGCTAGCAAAGGGAGCGACTGTGCCTGATTGGCATCCAGTAAACATGCATTGGTTCTGGATGTGACCCTTAGGTCCCATACACAGGGCAAGCGAGGCACCGCTTGGCCACCCACGTGTTCTACGACAGTTTATTTGGTTATGGTAGTTGGCATGCTTTGTATGTGACCTCTAGGTACAGGTGCAACTTCGTGCGCTTAAGCCGCATTAATCCGGTAGAGGCACAAATGTTACATTGGATTATGCGGTTGGATCAATGATAAATCCGATGTAATCCGTTTGTATCCGCATGCACGCGCCTTAACCTGCCTAACAGGCTTATCCCGGATTAAAACGGATTAAGACGGATTAAGTTGATCCGTAGGCCGGATTAACCCATAGGGGCCGTTGGTAGGGGGGGGCGCCTGTGTGAACATGCCCAGTCAAACCTTTCACCAGCTTCATGTTGCATTCCAGCCACCAACGTATGGCTGGACACTGGCCAAGTTGCAACCCATTATCATAGCTTGCCTTATGCCTACCCATGGATAGGCAAAAGCAGGGCTTCATCCACTACGCTGTCATATTGGCATGTGCCCATGTCAGTTGATCCAGGCAACACCAGAAATCGGAGTGCTAAGGAAAGATCCCAGCAGGCAAAACCTGCACTAGGTGCACATAGTCCAATTAAAGCCCAACCCGCTCACTACTGGGCCTGCAAGTTACTGGACTGTATGTTGGCAACAGGCTGTAAGGAGCTGGGAAATACGTCTTTTGGTGCTGAAATAAAATCCAAACATGTAGTTGTAAAACCTTTATGCACAAGCACGAGCCTTAAGTATCATATACAGTGGCACTTATTTAGGCGTGAGCTTGCATTTGGAGTGCTCTCTCCCTTCTTGTTGCGTTGTGCTTGCCTTTCACCTTGGCTGCTTCGTCATTTTATGACTGGTTACCGCCCGCTGCTAAAGTGTAGCCAACACTAGGTTAGTTATCAGTGGCCCCTGCCATGTAGGGCATGGGTGTGTTACATATATGTATTCTATTCCTGCATACCCTCAGACTAAAACATACTGACAAGCACATGTTGTAAAGTTTGGCTGACCAATATTAGAGTCCTTAGAAGGCCTATTGTGACCGCTGGCGGCAGCAGCAGCACTTCTCACTGTAGGTGAACATGATCACTTGAAAACACGTGAGCTCCAAAACAGTGATGCAAGGGAAGCATGAGGCTATCAGCTCGTTAAAGCCGGACAGGACCATAGCACCTGAAGTGGTTTATATATATGGTTGGGTGGTACCAGAGGCTGTTGTGAGATGTGGGGCGGAGAGGTGCCTGGCGCTGTGTAAGAGGTGGCCACTGTGTGTCCTGGTTAGTTTGCATACACCCTCCAACACGGTACATCACACCCATCTGCAGACTGCCAGTTTTTCCGCCCCCATCTAGCGTGGCCCTCCTACAAAGGATAAAAGGCAGATGGTGACTTTTGTGCATGCAGAGCAAGAGCCTTAGAATTGGAATTGGGAAAAGCGTTTCAATAACAATGTCAAAAAGCGCACCCGATGCGATTCGAACGCACGCAGGGAAACCCTACGGCCTTAGCAGGGCCGCGCCTTAACCACTCGGCCACAGGTGCATAAGAGACGGTCCCGGACGTGTTCGAACCGTCGACCTTGCGGTGGGCTGTTATGGAGAGATAACAGCCGCACGCTCTACCGACTGAGCTACAGGAGCATTGAGTGCATCGATCCTACCAGGGATCGAACCTGGAATCTCCGGTTCCGTAGACCGGCGCTTTATCCATTAAGCCATAGGACCTTTGCTGATGTCCATTGAGTAAGTCAATCTCTATATTAAATGCATAAGCCTGCCGTACAATCGCGAACCCCCCTCTTCTAGCGGGATTCGTACCGCTTAAGGCCTTGGGGGGAGTTTGCGGATATGCGCACTGTCAGCATGCTGTCCAGACGTTGGAGGAAAGCTTAGCAACACTAGCACACTAGTATCCTCCAGGAGGAAGGGGGGGACAAGAATAGGCTCCCAACGTATACAAGATACAGCCAATGAAAGTAACGTTAGTTCCTCTCACCCCGCTAGCGGATTGGCGATATATCTACATACATGCACCTACATATAAAACGGCTGCCAGGCACAACCACCAGAGAGCTGTATGTGTGGCAAGCAAAGTACATAGGGAGGTCAAAATGGGGGTGCGAGCCAGGACAGACAGGGCACCAGATGGATTGGACAGAGTGCAAAGAATGGGTCAAACCAGAATGAGTAACCATGGACAGGAAATGCACAGTAATAAGGCGTGGTTACAGGACATGGATTATTCCGCGCATAGGGCTGATGTATGTCACTAGTGTATAGTTGAACGCTCATTGAAATGCTCCGTAGGCAAAGCAAACTGCTGCTGACTGGGGTGATCTAACACATTGGACATCCTACAGGCAGCACGCTTAGAGCCGTAAACAGCCCGCTGCATGCTACCTAAGTACCACTGTATGTATGTGTAGCTGGGCGTATACATAGAGTGGTACACAGCTGGCGTACAGTGTGCAATTTAACTAACACAAGGAACAAAACAAAACACTATCCCCGAGTACAGGGGTGTAGAGTCAGATTGGACGAACTGGAACCTACCTCCAGGCTACCAAAGGCCATGAGTTGAATCCAATGCTTCTGCAGCACATGTGTGTGCGCATAAGCTGGGGTAGCCATGTAGCCTGATGTCTAGCCATGTGGGAGTGGCGAGCCAACCTTTGCCCACCATCAGGAAGCCTTTTGGTGAAGCATTCCATCAAACTCTGAACCAAAACTCTATTGTGCCATTCCACTTCCTGGTGTTTTCAATGGGCTTTCCTTGGCATATTCTGAGCCATGCTTGTGTGTTTAAGAAAGCGTAGGCACATGAGCCACAAACACACAGTTTAGTTTCTGGGAAGCAAGTCCGGTCGCCCAAAGCCAAATGTCATAAATTTCCTCATATACAGAACCTGCTTAGTTACTATGCGCATTTCGTTCCATTGTTATTTCCTGGCCAAGCAAGCAAGGCCCCATGCTGATCTGAAAGTCAGCACCCAGACACTTTGTGGATTTTGCCAAAAGCTTAGTTATGTGATAATCAAGAACTCGCTATATATAGGCTTTCCAGGGGGCGCCTGTGTGAACATGCCCAGTCAAACCTTTCACCAGCTTCATGTTGCATTCCAGCCACCAACGTATGGCTGGACACTGGCCAAGTTGCAACCCATTATCATAGCTTGCCTTATGCCTACCCATGGATAGGCAAAAGCAGGGCTTCATCCACTACGCTGTCATATTGGCATGTGCCCATGTCAGTTGATCCAGGCAACACCAGAAATCGGAGTGCTAAGGAAAGATCCCAGCAGGCAAAACCTGCACTAGGTGCACATAGTCCAATTAAAGCCCAGCCCGCTCACTACTGGGCCTGCAAGTTACTGGACTGTATGTTGGCAACAGGCTGTAAGGAGCTGGGAAATACGTCTT